TCTGTCTGTCTGTCTGTCTGTCTGTCTCTCTGTCTCTCTCTGTCTGTCTCTCTGTCTGTCTGTCTGTCTGTCTGTCTGTCTGTCTGTCTCACAGATTCCAATACAGGGTCCTTTAGTCGCCGTCTTTCTGCTGTTTGCTCCTCAGTGTGTGTCTCTTTATACTGCAGTGTGTTTCTGACTCATGTTCGTGGTGTTTCTGTCCGACAGCCTCCTTTAGTGCCTGTTTTCTGTCTGCGCTCTACTAACTCCTTCCCTCCCTCTCTGTCTCTCTCTCTCTCTCTCGCTCACTCACTCACTCACTCACTCACTGTGTGCTAAGAGGAACATAGTTTAACTCAAGACTGATAACGTGCAGTAAGATCAGGGTCAGAGGCCAAAATACTTGTTTTAAAGCGCTTCTGGCTATCATATGCAATGGTAGAATTAAAAATTAAATTTATATTTATTCACTAAGCAAACAAAAATATTTAATTGATTTAATTTTAAAAATAAATAAGTTTCTGTACCTTTTAATTCTCTAATTGTACGTTTTTAATGGATTTGTAAAGAAAATATGGAAATGTGGTGTTTGATCACAAATGTGAGTGGTTGCCAGGGTGTTGCTATGTGGTTGCTATGGTGTTTTGGGTGGTTGCTAAGGCATTGGTATAGGATGTTCTGAGTGCGCTGTGGCTTCTGGGTTGTTTTGGGTGCTTAAAGGGTTAGCTCACACAAAAATAAAAATGCTGTCATTAATTACTCACCCTCATGTCATTCCCATAAGACCTTTGTTCATCTTCCGAACACAAATTAAGATATTTTTGATGAAATCCGAGAGCTCTCTGACCCTGCATAGACAGCAAGGGAACTACCACATTCCTTAAAATAGTCCATGTGACATCAGTGGTTTAACCGCAATGTTATGAAGCTACGAGAATACTTTTTCTGCGCAAAGAAAACAAAAATAACGACTTTATTCAACATTTGTTCTCTTCCGTGTCAGTCTCCGCTGCGCGTTCACGAGAGTACCATGTCGCATGCATGTGATACTGCTGACGCAGGAGCCGGCATCCTGACGTAGAACATGCATGCGCTGCGCCTTGTTTACAAGCAGAGGAATGCACACGCATGCATCGTGGTTCTCTCAAGAAAGCTCTCAAACTCATCAAAAATATCTTAATTTGTGTTCAGAAGATGAACAAAGGTCTTATGGGTTTAGAACGACATGAGGGTGAGTAATTAATGACAGAATTTTAATTTTTGGGTGAACTATCCCTTTAAAGTGTTGCTAAGCTGTTGCTAGGGTGTTTTGGGTGGTTGCTAGGGGTTCACTGAGCTGTTGCTATGTGTTTGCCAGGATGTTCTGGGTGCTTTCTAGGGCATTTTTATAAGGTTGCTAAGAGATTCTGAGTGACTGTTAGTGTCTTAGTGTGCTCAGTGGTTTCTAGGGTGTTCCGGTTGTTTCCTGGGGGTTGCTAAGCTGTTGCTAGGGTGTTCTTGCTCTGAATATTAGTATAAGGTTGCTAAAATGTGTATGCTGTTAGTGTGTTGCTATGTGGGTGCTTAGAGTGTTGTTAAGCTGTTTCTAGGGTGTTTTGGGTGGTTGCTAGGGGGTTCTGAATGGTTGCCAGGGTGTTGCTATGTGGTTGTTTCAGTTTGTTTGGGTATTGTGAGTGGTTGCTAGGGCATTGGTTTAAGGTTGCTAAAATGTTCTAAATGGCTCTTATTGTGGCTTCTAGAGTGATCTGATCCGGTGCTTGGAGTGTGGCTAAGCTGTTGCTAGGGTGTTCTGGGTGGTTGCTAGGGGGTTGTTTACTGTCTCAAGTGAAAGGAGTCTCTGTGATATTAACATAACTATATATTAGCAACGTTGAATCTGGAGCACACCTCGTTTGCTCAGACACTTTGCCCCATTATCAGAGGTAATGGTGCTTTCATTACAATGATATCCCATGCCAGGAGGAAATGGAGAGTAATGGATGTGACTCTGCTCGGTTTTGATTAAATGGGAATCAGCAAAGAGCCATATTTGGCAAAATCATCCTCTCTTAGCGGCTGATATGTTAGTTGTCACTTTGAGCTGCTGGCCAGATCATAAAGTTTCCATTTACCACCACTAAACTCATTTTCCCACAAAGGTGATGGTGTACAGAGATAAACTCTGTTATCAGTTGATGTGCACGCAGGTTATTCACAGTATTTCCAGGATATTACAATTCCTTATTAATGTAACATGATCCATTACATTACACATGATTACTTTTAGATTTCTTTGACCTAACTTCTTTATCACATTGATTTAAATATGATAATCTTGTACCATATTGATATAAAACTTCAAAGAGAAAGAAAATATACTCCATTCATTGTTATTAACAACGTGAAGTGCAATAAACAATACCTTACATCAAGGTTTTGTGAGTTTAATTAAAAGCTAATAATTAATTAAATCATAAAAATATATGCATTAAAATTTAAATGATTTTTGTAAATCCAGTAGTCAAATACTGTTTGGCCTCTCAAGTTTCTCTGTATTTATAGTGATTGGTTCTTGTGTGAATGTCCACAAAACTGAAAGACTTATAAGCGAAGTGTATATGAGCGATATTCTCTTTTAGAAGAAAAAATGTAAAAGATGAAAAAGAAGAATTAGGTAGAATCAATCAATTATGAATAATGAATTGCTATTGTGTGTAATCACGTAATCACTAAAAAAGTAACTGTAGTCTGATTACAAGTATTTAAAATTTTAATATAATCTAACTACAACAAGTGCTTAATTTTTGTAATCTGATTACATAATCAAAATTACATGTAATCAATTACTACCCAGTGCTGTCAACAGATAACCGTGGAGCAGCTGATGTCAGAAAACGGACAAAGAGAATGTAATCCTGTACTGGAATGTGTTTATTTTCCTTTGGCATCCATGTAAACTCATCAATAAGATCATGTAAAGCTTCTTTTTATCTAGTGTCTGTATCAGGCTCAAGTATGACAGAAGCGCGGTCATCTGTGTCTACCAGTGCAGATTATCTGTATGTTCACCCGTCAGAAAGCCTCCAAACATGCATTAGAAATCAACCGTGTCTTTTATAGCTGCCATCATCAGGTCTGTGACTGATAAGGCCTGAAACTAAATGGGTGCACCTTAATAAAAGATGGATGAGGAGACGCAGCAATGCAACAGACTGGAGTGCTTTGGAACAAAACTTGATATGCGAGAAACACATTTATGGTGCCCACAGCGCATCAAACATTGCTTCAAGCTGTCCAAACAGAATTCTGTGGTGTATTCCCATGTCAAAGTGTACACCAGGCTGGACAAAAGGCATGCATTGGCTATTTCAAAGATCCGATTTCGATAAAAAACAATGGCTGCCACTTTTCCCCTTTGTTTTGTCAGGGAATATCAGTCAAGTGCAGCTCCGCTGCTTCTCATGCCGATGTGCCGTCTGTTACAAACTCTAAATTATTGAGCAACGCAGCAGCTCATCTTTCACAGCCAACAAATTCATTCATCCGAGCCAAGACTCAAAAATAGGGCCAGCCGATGATACAGGGCATGCATTCCCTAGAAACGCTGTGCTTTCAAGAAAAAACAATGGATTGTATTAAGAAAATGTGGTGTTTGTCCATTGAAAGCTCACAATGCACACTGATCGAGTGTTGTGGATGGTTGCCAGGGGGTTGCTATGCAGTTGCATACAGTATGTGTTCTGCGGGCTAATAGTGTGTTGCTACGCAGTGGCTAGGATGTTGTGGATGGTAGCCAGGGTGTTGCTATGCAGTTGAATATACAGTACGTTCTGTGGCTTAGTGTGTTGCCATGCAGTTGCTAGGGTGTTGCGGACGGTTGCCAGGGCATTGCTATGCAGTTGCTAGGGTTTTGTGGATGGTTTTCAGGGTGTTGCTATGCAGTTGCATATGTGTTCTGTTGGTTAATAGTGTGTTGTCATGCCGTTGCTAGGGTGTTGTGGATGGTTGCCATCCTGTTGTATATGTGTTCTGTGGGTTAATAGTGTGTTGCCATGCCGTTGCTAGGGTGTTGTGGATGGTTGCCATGCAGTTGCATATGTGTTCTGTGGGTTAATAGTGTGTTGCCATGCAGTTGCTAGGGTGTTGTGGATGGTTGCCAAGGCATTGCTATGCTGTTGCATACGTGTTTT